GAAAATGGAATGCTTCGCTTCTTCAGTATGTATTTAGTGAGATTTTTCTTAATGTATGATTTGACAGCCTTAATAATGTATTTCCCGCTATTAGAATCCCACATAATTACTGAACTCAAATTTCCTTATTTCATAATGAAATAATGGAGGCTTTTTATAAATCCTCGTGGATGATAGATAGCATTTTTCCCCTTCAAAACTGTCAGGTTTATTTCCTTTAGGTGCTACAGCTGATACCTCATACCTTCATGCAGGAACATTGAGAGGCTTTCTTAAAACCCATTAATCCTAGATGCTGGAAGGGTCTTCTCCTGCTTATGAGAAGGACAGACAAGAATAATGAGCCTGCAGGACAGTGTATGTTGTCACGACTTTATACGTTTCACCTGTTAAGCTGTCCCTCCATACTTCACATGGAGCCTTAAAGGTCCTCAGCATCTGGCTCCAGTACATCTAATGCTGTCAAATAAGGTAGTAATGAAAAAAATGTTACACACAGCTAAAGCTCAGTGGGTAAACAATATTGTACAAAGCCCCTTGGCCAACCCCTGGCACCAAGATTAGATTGTTTTCTTTAAGAGAAGCGATGAACACACAAGGACATGCACTATTTTTAAATCCCTTCCTTCCAAATTTCTCAGTCTATGAACTTATCTGTAAAAGGCAAACTTTTGACTTTATTACAAATCTTTGTAAGCCATAATTAATCTTCTTCCCACAGGAATGAAGAAGGACAGATGATCATCCAAATAAGGTGAGAGGTTAACCTTACACATCATCATCACACAGCCTTCTTATCCAGAGAGGAAAAGCAAAAACATAGAAATATGTAGCATTATAGAGCACAAGTCCATCAACTTGTTGAACATAACTCAACAATCCTGGAAGTCCCCAGTCACATTCCCTACCCTCACAAGAACTCTCTACAAACTTGTAGAGCAGCCACAACCTCCTGGAGACCAAGACTGGGCCTAATGCCCACAACAGAGAATAGACAATTTATCAGATGTCTGGTGCGCACAGAATTCAGATACTGTGGCTAAAATTCTGTATTGCACTGGGCTAAATGAACAAAACTTTGAATTTGCTTGCAGGAAATTGTTTTAAATTAAAAAGGTTTTGTTTACTCCATCTTAACAGAGAAAGCACAGAAAACATAGAAGAGAGGGTAATGGCATTGACAAGTATTTGTATTATCAAATCATACCCAGGAAAACATTTTCCAATAATCCATACTGAAGCTGTACTATTAATTATTTCTCTGTAACCATCTCCATCAGGATTAATTTAGACAAGTATGAAACAACCTCTAGCTCTCATTACAGCAACCAATTATTTCTCATTTGTAATATAACTGACACCTTTTGTTTTTCCAAAGATTTTCCATCCACAGAAAAGACTTTGCCTTCAGTTTGCAAACATTTTATAAAGAAACTCACTTAAGCCTTCCCTCCTTTACACCAACAGATGCCTCCAGCATGAATCTAACTACATACTTAGAAAATGAAAGGGGGCTAATCACTCATCGTCACCTATTTTACAGTCAGTAATTTCAACATTTTTTATTTCCCAAGAGTAGATTCTGTCTTTGCCCTCGCTGAATCTCCTAGCCAGGCATACATGGACAAGGTTGCATTCTGCTGGCACTCAACCAAGGCACAAGAAATAGAAAATATTGCAGCCTGTTTTTATCCTCTCTTAAAAATAAGACATAAACAACCCCTGAGCATGAAGTCTTAATCTAAACATGGTACACCAGGCTTATAGTAAATTTATTTATGTTTTGCATCCCAACACCATCAGGAACATAGCCTGGTATATGCTGCAACACTGTTGGGTGGACTAGGAGACACAATTTTTCCTTTAGAGGTGATGGACACTCTCCCAGCATCTCTGACAGTTTCACACATACAGAAACCATGCAGCCCAGCAGAACTGATATTCTTCAATAGAAAAAAGATGCAGAACAAAGTCACAGAGAAAGTAGCAACACTATTGAATGGATTTCTGAAACAGAAAACTTTTGGTATTACCAGGCTCCTTTTTATTCCAGGCTTACAGGTCCATTCAAACATCTGTCACCTATTCACAAACTATGGTACTTAAATACAAATAAGGATACTGAGATGGCATTGCATATCCTCCCCCACATAATCCTATAGATACTGCTCCTTATTTTAAAGATTAATGATTTTAATTAAATTAAAGATTAATACATTTTAAACCCCCACATAATCCTATAGATACTGCTCCTTATTTTAAAGATTAATGATTTTAATTAAAGATTAATAAATTTTAAGTATTATCTTCATTAAATGAGCATCTGCCATAACAGCAAAAGATACCATTAGTGTTAGTAAACCCTTCAATCATATTTTGTACTAAACTAAGCAGCCATGGGTTTACACGCACTGAGCGGAGCTTTCATTGCCTTCAGATATTGCACAGATACTTCACCTCCTCCTCAGAACACCATCTCCTCTTAATGGCAAACAAGACGTAATAGGATAATGAACAATATTAATTAAGGTCATCCAGATCACTTCAGACATTTTCCTAGTGTCAAGCACCTTTTGCACCCCTTCCTTTTTGAGTCACATAGCACTGCGTAAGCACAGTAATTGCTGGCACAAAGTACACAATTAGGCTGTCTGCTACAATGAAGACTGAGGGAGAATAGAAGATATGAACATAAGAACCATAACGCTGTAGTATTCATGTGGAAGAAATTTCCACATTAGTCATCACAAGATTTTCTTTAACATTTCAGGATTTGACCCTGAAAACATTCATGGCATTAAGACTAAAATCCAAATACTAATTCAAGAAAGGGGGTTTGTATCGTTTTAGAGCAGCTACTACAGGTTTAGAATGAAAAGCGTAGTAAGTGTGACAATTTTTTAGACCAGCTTACAAATTAACCAACACACTTTACTCCTTAACACTGATACTTAGAACTGTAATTTAAGGCACCATTGAGCACTGTGTTTATGATGTTTCATACGGTCATGGTTGGTTTTCACTGTGAAAACCTACCTCTGAGACTGCTGCTCTAAAAATACATTAATAAGCTGTTGGATGCAGACTATATTGCTATGAGTAAGATTTTTTTTATCCACTAACAGAAAGAAAAATGCACTGTACTTGACAATATACAGATGTATGATATAACATATGCAGTCAGCTCCCTCCAGAAAGTTACTATTCATCTACTTGAAAATGAGAGGAATTCACACCTCACGACAGTTTCTGTAACAAATTAGATTAGGGGTTTTTAAAATTTTTTTTTCAATAAACGTGAAAACGTACAAAACTGAATTTCTGGTTTAGATGGCATAGTGTATCTGGTAGAACAAGAGAACTTGCAACATGTTTTCATATGGCTGCCAGTAAGTCAGATGAATTTCATACTGGATTATCCCTGGAGCATTTCATCTCTTTGTTACTAAAATCCAGCAAAACTGCTACATCCAAAACAGTCCAAGAGAATTGTTTTCAGTGTTTCAGCTCAAGTCAACAGATTCTTGTTCCCTGTTGCTGGAGTTAACATGCACACGATACTGAAATAAAAACACTTTACTCTGAATGAGATTCAGCACTGGTCTTCATATTGCTCCACAGGACAATAATGTACACATAAAAGCTTCTGGTAATTGCAGAGCTATTAAAAAAAACAAACAACCCAATGTATTTCTTTTTTAAAAAAAAAAGAATACAAAACACGCAACATCAGAAAATCCTACAATACTTCTTCCATGTCGTGGAAAATTGCTACTGTATCAGCAACGTGCATGTTTCCAAGCTGAGGCACGTTTCTGAAAGCCACCAAACCAGGCTTCCATTCTAGAAAAAGCAGCATTCCCTACTGCAGTCCTGGTCCAATACAAGTAAGCAAACCAAACACTGCCAGATTAAACAGAGGCAGACAAAATAAAATCAATATATCATTCACTAACTGTGAGGTGTATAGGCAGGTAAACAAACAAACAAAAGGTAGAAATAATTCAGTCAATGCAGGATGCAAACACTGGAAAATATCTCTCTTGGACAAAAACATCCTCAGGAGAAATCCCAGCTTTCTCTTGCTGTTTTTAAAGTTTCTCGACCTGTGTCAGCAATATTGAAGTTATAGTACTTCTGTCTGTGACTACTTCTATATATGGTCAGCACAGATATTAGCTGGGATTTGCGTTTTTCCAAAGTAATCCCAGGCAACCAGAAGGCAGTTAATCAGTATGAAAACCCACATGAGCCGATCCTCAGCCCTGCACACGAGTCCGCTTGGGTTTCTCTGCCCCGAGACTTGCACAGCGAAGGGAATACGGCTAGTTCTGGTTTTGAGTAAACACTTGGGCTCTGTTTCAGACACTCCTGTGTGCGCGCAGGCAGCGCACACCCTACCCAGCGATGCTTCCCAAACTCCAGCCCGCGGTCCCGAGGAGCCGCGCTTGATCCGGAGCGGAGCGGACACCGCACAGCCGCGGGCACTGCCAACCACCTGCCCGGGGAGGCCGCGCACTCCTCGCTGCCCCTGCGGGACCAGCCCGACACCCGGCGGCACGTCGAGCCCTGCTCCGGGCTCCGGGGCGAGCCGCCACAAGGCAGGACAGCGCACACAAGGCAGGACCGCGATCCCCAGCCCCAGCGAGCCAGGGGCGCACGGCGGGCGGCGCCGCTGGAGGGGCGCAGCAGCCCCCGGGAGCGGCCGCTCCTCCGAGCGCCCCCGGGAGCGGAGCAGCCCTGCCGCGGTACGCGGAGCCCTCCGGCGGCCACCACCGCTGCCACAGCCTCAGCCCCCCGCCCCGGCTGGACGGAGGGTTCTGCGTTTCCTCAGCCGCTCCGAAGCGGGGACGGTCCGCACAACTTTCCCCGCGGCGAGCCCTGCTGCGCTGCCGGCCGGGCTGCGCCGCACGCCGCTCCCCGCCGCTGGCACCGCGCACGCCAGGGAGGACAAACACTCAAAAGCTCCCGCCCGAACCGGCATTTCTCCTCCTTCCTACCTGCCCGGTTCCCGGAGACCCCACGCAGCCCGCTCCGAGCCGAGCGCTCCCTGCGACGCCCAGGTGGCGTTAGGAGCGCGCTTCCCACGGGCGGCGCGCCCCCGGCGGCCGGAACATCCCCCGCCGGGAGGAGGGCGCTCCGCACCCGCCCGCGACGCCGACACCGCCGACACCGCCGCACCTGTGCCCGGGCAGCGGCACCGCCCCTTCAGCGCCGGCCCGTGGGTGGGCGGGGGGCCCGCGGCCACTCGGAGCCGATGGGACATTGCGGCGAGCGGGCGGGCGGGGACGAGAGAGGGGGATCTGGCCGCAGCCCCCGCCCCGGGGTGCACGGAGTTAAAAGCAAAGGGTTGCCAAAGCCGTCCCTCGTCCTTGCCAACAACCTGCGACGTAGCAAGGACTCGGTGACGAGGTTATGTGGGAAAGCCTTCCGTCAGTCTGAGATGGGTTGTTCGCACTCTTTTTTTCCTCCCCTCTCAACACCACCCCCCCCGCCCCCCCCCAATTTTCTAATCTATTTTTATTAGTTTTAAATGAGACGTGTGAGCACCTACTGCTTGAAGATTGTGGTCCATTTGTGGAGAGTAAATAATTTTCTGTTGCATATTAAATATGCCTCTTAATGAGGCATCAGCCAAATCACATACCCTCATATAGCTCTATAATATATATTAATACGGTATTTATTCATTACTATCAACTTTTCAAAAGGTCTGCTTAAAATATTCTCCCCTCTCAGCTAATCAGGGTATGCTACAAACTCATAGAAAGCCAAATGATTTATTAATATATGCTTAGACTCCATTAAAACATGAAGAATGTAAGAAATCTGCATTTTAAAAGATCTTGTAGAAGTATGTGATAACTTACTGTGTTAAATTGAGGTGTCTCACTGCCATGTTTCTTCTGTCATAAAAGATTAATAAATTCAACTTTAAACCCTTCAACACAAAAGAAGTTCAGCATTTAGCAGTTGTTTTTGTGGGCAGCGTTGCTGCCTGCCAAGTTGCTATGGCATAGGGCAGCAGGGTGTGTTCTGCTTGCCTGCTTGTGTATTTCTTGGCTAGGTGTAAGAGAAAGTTACAAAGTAGTGCTCTGGAGAACAGAAACAAAACAGCAGTGTATCCTTTCGAGGGCACCAATCCTCTATTAATCTTACAAGTAATATCGTTTAGATTATCTACTACCTTCAAAACAAAATTTTAGAAACTCAGGGTCGATCTTGCACCTTATGTGTTCAGTGAGGAAGAATCACCTGCACCCTATGTCCTCACGCTGGGGATTTCGCAGAATATGCCACAGGATCCGTTGTGACAAGTAGCCATGACCAGAGCCTGTGAAAGAATATGTAAAATTCCAGGTATCAGTTTTCAACACTTAGAAAGAAAATGTGTTAATCTGCTGGTTTTAAATTAACACAGTGGTAACTAATGGCATTCTAAAGAAATACCTGTGGGATGAAAAAGCAAAAACTGAAAATTACTTACATATGAAAAAATGAAGGTCTCTTCTTGCTGTGCAAAGATTCCCCTGCTTTTGAGCTCTGGCTATGTTGCTTTAGTGCCCGCCTATGCTTTTCTTTTTACCTTGCATCTCAAAATAGCTTCAGAAAAAGCTCTATCCCGTGTAATAGGAAGCTGGGGTTTCAGCACAGCTGCGAGCCCCTCTGCGTTGTCTCAGGTGACCCTTCACAGTGTGATTGTCCTTGGTGTTTCTGCACCTCAGCTGCCGAGGGCTCAGCACCCCCACGTGTTGGAGATGAGCTCTCAGGATGCACCCCTGGCTTTTAAGATTATATTGGAAATAATGTGTTTATTTTTGTGCCACTGAAGGTGTAGCTGAAAATTCGACCATCTTTTCCCTTTTGTCGCTAGTATTAGCTGTTAAATTCGTGTAAGGGCTTCCCAGCTGTAAGCACACTAAATATAGATAAGGTAATCTCAGGCTGAGATCTTTATAACACATAGACAATTCATAAGGGGGAGGAAAACCACTCCAGATATAAATTATGTTATGATTAGACCAGTGTCAAAAAATGCATAGCTTTGGATCTACCACAGCTTCATTAATTTCTGAGGTTGTGGATAAAGTCATCTATGTACATAATGCAGTATATATTTTAGAAATTAATTTCAAGATTCAAAGCAAGCTGAGATCAGCTTGGCTTTGAATTTGCCATGTTTTAAGGCACATATCAATACTTCATAAATCAGTGTTCTGTTGCCTAGTAGAATTGTGTAACATAAATATATTTAACCTTGAGTCATGCAAAGTCTTGCACAGCCTTTGAAGAAGTGTCTACACACTAAAATCAATGATCCTAGAAAACCCGTATAGGACAATGTCTGTATAAAGAAGTAAGTCTCAAGGCAGTCAATGAACTGGTTAGGGATGCCTAAGGAATACATTTTGCTATAATACTGCTAAATAATACTCTTTACAGAAAATATCTATTGATTTTAACAAGCTCTTTAGCTGAGCAGAGACCAGAGGTTTAAACCTGCACAGTACAGCTCCTAGATATAATGCAGGTCTTTACATTATATTCCTAAGAAGGCACAGATATGGAGATTAATTAGAAGGTTGTTGGGGTTTTTGGTGGATTTTTTTGTTTGTTTGTTTAGGTTTGTTTGGTTTTTTTTAACTAGGAAATCTTACTTGGATGCTACTGTGTTTTTGTGCCTGTGTTCATGGCATTGCTCTTCCCAGAATTGGTGCATTCATCCTCTGGATAGTCTGTGGTCATGTATTTGCAGCTAAGACACAAAAAAGCTCATTAAGAAATCAACTGAGCACTCCTTGAAGTTATCCTTGAAGGACCTTCTTGGGTGACATCACTTTCTTGTCTGTGGTTTCATTCATTACATGGAATCAGGAATCATGTAGTTTCATTCAGAAGAACAGATGATAAAGATCATCTTTTACTTTTTGCTCCTGCCCATTTTGTTCTTCTGGAACAGCAGATCCTCATATCTATAATATTTAGGAACTTCTAATTTTAAGCTTTAATTTATTTCTGAGTACTTTATTCCCATTCATCTTGCCTGATGATACTAGCCTGTCTTGAGCTAGCTCACCATTCTCCTGTGTTTTAATGTCTTTATAATGTCCCCTCCATATTTTTGCTGTTCTAAACCTGTGCTTTCATAGGCTTGTTTTGTAAATGGGGTCCTCCTCTTTTCTGCTTATCCAAGGTGCGGTTTTGTATCATCTTTTTGTGTGGGTTTTTTTTTTTGTTTTCGGGTTGAGTTTCCTTCCATATAGGTGAAATTATATACCAGTTTTGGACAAGGTGCTAAATACACCCAGTTAGAAAGAGCTCAGAGTGGTGAGATTGCCCTGGACTGTAAACCAGTGTCTATTCTGCTGCTTCCACAGCTCAGTCATGGTGCTAGCTAATAGGTACCTTCTGGCCAAATAGTATCAACAAAGATTTCTTTTGCTTCTTTTGTTTCCAAATGATAGTGCCCAGCTCACAACAGAGATTCCTGTATTTAGCTTCTATGTGTACTATGTGCACTATTCTGTTTTGCCTCACTGTCTTTCTCACTTTGTGCCTTACTGCGACCTTATAGGCACTCGATTTTTTTTTTACTTTTATTTTTTTTGTCCAATCACCAGATACTCATCATTTGCCCCTGGCAGCCTCTAAACTTTGTCTCACAAAGAGCCTCAGCTGGCAGATGCCTGGCTTTGGTCAAGGCCAAGCAACTGTTGCTCTGTAAGGAATTTCACCAGCAGTATGCATCTAGCCTGCTGATTGGTCAACACAACACACTCCATTGTCTCCTCCTTGTCCAATGCCTTACTGTATTGTCATTCTTTTATTAATCCACATCCTCTTCAGCTTAACTAACAGTTTCCCATGTGTCACAGTGCCAAAAGCTTTACTGAGCACCAAATAGATCAAGTCTGCAGAATTACTCTTATCAAGAAAATTATCCTGTATAAAGAAAGGGATCAAGTTAGGCACAATCTACTAAAACTGCTTTTTATCCAATTTGCATCATGTAAATCAGTGCAAACCACACATCACTCCATAGTAGTGTAAGCAAATCCTTGTAGTTTAAGCAAAATAAAAGTCGTGTTAATGGCTGATGATTAGGGTCACACTAAAGCTATCAAGCTAAGCATAGCTGAAAGAATAAGACACAATTTGTCCTGTTTTCTTTATACATCTAAAGAATATGGTTTCATTCATGTTTCATAGTTGTTTCAGGAAATGTCCAACAAAGATTACAGTAGTCCATAATTTTCCAAATTGAAAATTTCAAACACCGTTGAATATAAGATCTGACAGTTTGTGAGGAAAACAAATACAAGCAGAAAAGCATGTTCAGATGGGGCCTTGTCTATATAAAGCTAGTCTACTCAAGACAGCAAGTTCTAGACCAAATATTTACTAACACACTAATTTGATTTTTGTAACACTTTGATTTCACATAATGGAAAACACATCCAAAACAATTAATTAATATTTTGAAGTCATTTATAAGCTTTATATCATTATTTCCTAAATGTGAAATGCATGCAGTAGCAACAGGAGATGTAACAATGAAGAAAGTAGAAATTAAGGGCTTTTTCTTAACTTGATACAAAAAAAAATACATTTATCATCTTCCTCTCCTGATACCTGTTAATGCCCAGCAGAAGCATGAATTCAGTGTACACTCATTTTAACAGCAGTTTTTCCCTATAACAGCAGCTTTTCCATAGCTCATTTTCAGTACTGTGATTTCTCATACTCTTTACCTTTCTTGTTTTAAGCTTCCACGTATTTCTGTGCTGGGAAGAGATTCTTCAGTCTGGGCAGAACACTTTGTGCAGGATGGGTGAGCAGGAACTGCATGAGATGAGACTCCAGTGGCTTTATGGGGGAATTGGGCTGTAGCGCTGAAAGGATGGAAGTCACACAGATAAATTTCTGCCCTCAACCAGGGCAGAAATACAATTTGGGCAGAAATGCTGCCCAAATACAACCAGCTCTGCAGGGAGCCCAACAGGTTCATGATAGGATCCAGCATTTCTTTCCTTCTATATATGGGTTGTTGTGGTTTTTTATCCTATACTTTTTATTTTCTGCCAGTGAGTCTCATAATGAGACCCATATCCCTGCAGATGCCATAGCTCCAGTCCATAATCTTTGTTAATGGTCAAGAAAAGAGAGAAGAAAAAAAGAAGCAAGTGTGAAGAGGAGGACTGTGCAGTCTTACTTGAGAAAAGGTGTTCTGACTG